CCTCCTTTGGTTTACCCTTCACATCCCTTCCCAGCCTCCCCCCTCCCCCCCTGAGTCCATTTCTTATCAAGCATTGTTACCCCCTCCTTTGTTTTTCTACTACCATCCCTCCCGCCACCCAAAGTTGTAAAGCTCGTTTTCAACATAGTGTCTTGTACATCTCAATCTCATTGTTACAATGGGTCATCTTGTATCCTTATTTCAGCATATTGTTATTTCCCTTCCCCTCATCGAATTAGAAAAATGTATATACAAGATGTAGGGCACCAAAATCAAATACAGTGACAACAGGGGCTGTACCATGGGGGAAGAACATACAAAGAAACAAAAAAAAATCACATAGTACGTTATAAGTACATTCAAAAGAACAAGAAAGATATCTTGTGTCTCTATCTTGGGGTTCATTTTGCTTAGCATCAGGTTATATGGTCATTTGTACATAGCTTTTGACCTTTTCTGCTTGTCCTAGACATATACTAGTTATTGCAGATAAGGGAAACCATGGGACCTATTGATTTATCATGTTCAACCTCATATCATCTGGAGAAATACTACCAGACTGAAGGCTTCAGGAGAGCAAAGGCCACATTCATCCTAAGGACTACTTAATGTGTGCTGTATCACCAGAGGCCCCTCCAGTGCTTTGTGCATAGCGGATCCAGAATAAATATATTTTGGGTAACTAGTGAATGAATCAACTGAAAAGAAGTCAGAATTCTGAAATATAGATTGTATATATCTTCTTTCCAAGTCCAGGGTAACTATTCATTATACATTGGGGTAAGCACAGGTGGCTTGTGTCTGTAATCCCAGACACCCAGGTGGCTGAGATCTGAGGATTGCAATTTGAAGCTAGGCTGTGTAGAAAAGTCCATGAGACTTTTATCTGCAATTAAGCAGCAAAAAGCTGCAAGTGGAGGTGTGGCTCAAGTAGTAGAACACCAATTTTAAGCAAAAAAGCTAAGTGATAGTACCCAGGCCCTAAATTCAAGCTCCAGTACTAGTGTGCACAGGCACACACACACACATGTGCACACACACAAAAACAAAACATTAGAGAATAGAAATTGTAAGTAGCTTTCCCTAAGTCTCTCATGACCTGAACAGCAACCAGGAGATCTAAGGACAATTCTTTTTCTAGCATTTATATTTTCATTATGCAGCTCAAAAATGTTCTGAACATTGTGCTTTTTAAAAAAGTATCTTTAAACAAAAAAGTTAAGAGCCTACAAAAATACATCTGTTCCTACTTTTAAAGAATCAGTTTAGTTGAGGATCAAGTCCAGTACTCAGTGAATATTATAACAACAGATGGTCTTATGTCAGGCTTTAAAATAACACAGCTACCGAGGAAAAAAAGTGGAAATGAAGGTCTGGCTACTGTTAGGCCAGGGTTACTTCAAACCCAGAAACAAAAGGCTCCATAGACCAACACCAGGAAACCTTGTACCCAGAGTTCAACTAGGTTTGGGGAATACAGACTAAATTCTCACTGGGTCCCAGACAGAATCCTAAGCCACAAGCAAGATCCATCTAGACTTTTTTTTTTTTTTTTTAAGTGTATACTGTGGAAGCAGAGGTGTGTAGGTTCTGCTTTAATTCTGGGCTTTTGGCCTGGCTTTAGTTGCCCATGGTTTCTTAGAAGTCACCTCCTCTTTATGGATAAGAAAAGGACAAGAGCTTGGCTGCTGCATGGTGAATTTCAGTAGGTGACCCGGATAGAGCATATTTACTTTAAATAGGATGCATGGGAAACTTTCAAAGAAATATTTGGACAAATTCCCAGATGACAGATGAGCTGAGGAGGTCAGGCATTCTACTGCAGGAATTGATGCTTGCTCCTAGAGGAAAGTGCTGAGAGGAGGGCCTAGCGCTGGTCAGATAAGCAGCAGCATCTAGTGAAGGAGCCAGGGCACTCAGTGGGCTGGTGAGAACACACAGTGGTCATGACTATTACAGGCTATGGTAAGTAATCACTTACACAGAAGTGCGCAGCTGCCCTTGCACAATTGCAGCCTGAATTTCTAGGACAGTCTGCCTTATTTCAAACACAAGAGTAGCATTTATTTTTACTGCCTCAGAATTCTGAGCACTGAACTCATTCTTACAATTCATTCCAGTCCCAAAGAAAGTTCACTTAAATCACTGGAACTCAGATCAAAGAGGTCACACAAATGCAGTGAACCATTTCACCAAAACTCAAATTCCTTCATCAAGGGCAATGTGCTCAATTATACACAGTAGACCTAGCGAATCTGACAAACTGAGAATGCAAAGGTCTGAGTGGTTTCCAATTTCTGCTTTGCTTTTCCATCCTGACACTACAGTAGAACTGACAAGCTGGTACCATGATTCAGGAGCATACCATTGGAATGGGAACTGGAACAAGTTCCCTGGTGGGTGATCTGAGTTTTCCTTTAAGATGAAAAGACAGCATTGCCTGTTTGAGGGGCAATCTTGTACCTTCTACACAAGATACTCCACAGTGAATGTAGTTTTCAACCCCAAGGTGATTGCAAAGGGATTATAGCAGAGAATAGCAAATCAGGGGCCCAGATATAAGGTTGGGGAACTTTTACTTAATTCATTGGGCCAGCAAAAACATCTTAAATTTTTTTTTTCCTTTTTTGTCATGGAGCTTGAACTCTGTGCTTGGGTGCTGTCCCTCAGCTCTTCAGCTCAAGGCTATTGCTCTACCACTTGAGCCACAGTGCCACTTCCGGTTTTGTGAGTGGTTTATTGGAGGTAAGAGTCTCACAGACTTTCTTGCCCAGGCTGGCTTTAAACCAGGATCCAAATCTCTGCCTCCTGAGTAGCTAGGATTACAGGTGTGAGATACCAGCTCCCAGCTTACTTTTTCTTTTCATAATTACTTCCCTCTTTCTCTAAATGGCAGGCAGTTTGAAGATACAACCTAGGTTAGACCAACAGATCTTTGCATAGTGCCACACACAATTCAACAAAAGTTTGCCTTTTGTGTGTTGCAGTACTGGGGCTTGAACTCAGGGCCTAGGTGCTGTCCTTCAGCTTTTATGCTCAAAGCTGGCACTCTATTGCTTGAGCCACAGCTCCATTTCTGGCTTTTTAGTGGTTAAGAGGAAGAGTCTCATGGATTTTTCTCAGCTGGCTTAGAACCAAGATCCTCTTATCTCAGCTTCTTGAATAGCTAGGATTGCAGGCCTGAACCACCAGCACCCTGTTAATGCCTGTTGTGACCAAATGACTGTTCTTTCAATTTTTCTTCCAATCCTGAGGAAGAAAACTGCCATCCCAGAATGGAATGGTCAAAAGGAGAGCCAGAGGCGTGAAGATAATTTTCACGCACAATTCAAATGGTAGTTCTCATTTGAACAGTCCCCGGGGCACACAGCTCCGATTCCGTATGGCTTGCTGCTAGTAGATTTTCTTTACATTTGCACAAACTAATCTGATGCCCTCAAATGTTGTCTTCAAGAGCTTCATTTTATTCCTGTAGGAGTTTTTTTTTTCTTTCCTTTTTCTTCTCATAGCGGTGCGATACCATAGCAACCAAGGGACATTCATCTTGTCTAACCATTGTGCTAGGCAGTCTGGGCAGGGGACTGAGTTCCACAGCGTCAGGAATGGAGGAAGGTGATAATAAACACATTAACCCTCTCCCAAGGATTCCTGAGTTTGGATTTTTATCTTTGCTTCTTTTTTTCTTGTTTTTTTTGGGGTCTGGTCGTGGGGCCTGAACTCTGGGCCTGGGCGCTGTCCCTCAGCTCTTCAGCTCAAGGCTAGCGCTGTACCACTTGAGCCACAACGCCACTTCCGGCTTTTTTCTTTTTGCTTATGTGGTGCTGAGGAATCGAACCCAGGGCCTCAGGCATGCAAGGCAAGCGCTCTACCACTGAGCCACCTTCCCAGCCCCATATCTTTGCTTCTTCTGTAGGGTGCATCCCTAGGTTCAAATGTAGGGCCACTTCACGCGGAAGGAGGCCAGCGGGGCGGCCGTAGGGAGAGGCCCCGAGCTGATGGGCAGTGAGCAGCCCCGGTTCCCCTCCGCCACGCCGTCCCCGGGTCCCCGCTATCAGCACCTCTCAAAGAGCCCGAGCCGGTTGCTCTGGAAGGCCCAGAGTCCAACTTAAGCCGCTTAGTTTGATCCTGAAAGGAAACGCTGGCTCCCAGCCTCCGCCCCGCAACCGCCCGCGGGCCTGCCGGGAAGGAGGGAGAAAGGGGCTCCGGGGCGTGGGAGTCCGGGGCTCCCCGACTCGCGTCCCGCAAATAACAAGTTGCTCCGGGAGCACACGTGGGAGGGCGGGCCCGGCACACGGGCTGCGGCGTGGCGGGTCCGGGGGGCACCCCAAGCCCCACCGCCGCGGGGCTCTGCCGGGGAGCCTCCCACCGCGGCTCCCCGGAGGGGAGGCGTGCAGGGCACCATAGCGTCCCCGCGGCCGGGCCAAGGGCTCGGCGCGGCCACATGGCGCGCGCGGCGCGCGGCTGCGCTTTGTTCCCGGCGTCGACGCCAAGTCCCCGGCCCCGGCTGCCCCTAGGCCCGGCACACGGGCCTCGGGCGGCTGAAAAACCTAGAGCGGGAGAAGCGCCTCCGAGTATCCGCAGCCTCCCCGTGCTCCTCGGTCACCGCCACCACTACAGCCACCATCGCCACCGCCGCCCCGCCCGGCCGAGGCCCCGCCCCTATACGCCAAGGCCCCGCCCCACAAGTAACGGCTCCGCCCGCCGGGTGCGCACCGCCCACTTCACCCATGCCCCACCTCCGGTCCTGCTGCTGGTCAGGAAAGGCCCGCCCCACAAGTGCCGCCCCCGCCCACACGGCCAAGCCACAGCCAATCATAGCACCGGACACGTCCCGCCCACCAGGTTCATCCCCGCCCCCACGACCCAGGCCACGCCCTCGTTACCCATGCCCCACCTCGTTCCACTCCCCCGGCCCCGCCCCAGCCTCTCCGCCTCCAGCCGCGAACTTAAGTCAGCGGTTCGCGCCGCCGCGCGCCCATTGGCCGGCGGAACGCGCCGCGTCACAATGGAGCCGGTGGGCGGTGGGGAGTCGGGCAGATCTGGGGCTTCCCGCTGAGCCGCCGCTGGTGGCCGCCGGGAAAGTGCCGAGGCCGGTGCGGGGCGGTTGCGGGGCCGGTGCGGGCGCGGGGCCGGCGCGCCCCCGGCGCACGCTGCACGCTGCCGGCGGCGTGGGAGTCCCGTGAGTCCCGGGCTGGAGTCGCCCAGGTAGGTCGGTGCGTGACGCCCCGGCGCGCGGGGGAGGAGCCGAGCCGACCGCGCGGGTGGCGGAGAGCGACCCTGGCGCGGGGGCGCAGCAGGTGGGGCGGGCAGCAGGTGCGGTTACCTGTCCACGCCTCACCTGCGCGCGTGACTGTGGGCCGGTAACCCGGCCAGAGCCGAGAGGCGGCTTCGCGGCCGCCTGGACTCCGCGAGAGACGGCGCCGGACCCCGGAGGACCTTCCCCGGCTGCCGGGGTCCTCGGGAGGCGAGGAGTGGGCGATCGCGCCGGGCGGCCCCCTCTGTCCCTTCCCCGCAGCGCCGAAGTCTCTTCCTCCTGCTGGGGTCTCGCCCCCGGTGAGGGCGCTGCCTGGAGGAGGTCCACGGTTTGCTGGACCCCTGCCCTGCCTGCTGCCCGGTGGCAAACATTCGTGCTGTTGGCTCCCCCTTATCCGCCTGCAGTTTGGTGGTGATGTGAGGGAGACGGGTCGGTCGTGCCCATGGACGGAGAGGCTCAGAGTTTCCTTCTCTTGGGCTGCTGAACTGGGTGCAGAGAGGTCAGAAGGAAGGAAGAAGCTCAGCATTGGCTCCCTCATCTGCGTCCTCAACTGACTTCCCAAAGTCCATAGGTCCCTGCCAGTCTGATGGCATTCCTGGTGATTAGAAAGACTACTTCAGCACCTCCCTACTCCCCCCCCCCCCCCCTTCAAGACAAACCTGAATCTAAAAATTTAAATATGTAGACTTGACTGTAGCCACCTTGTCTAAAAACTAAAAATAATAAAACTTCACTGTGAAAAGATACCCATGTGAAAGTTGTAAATACGTAGCCAATTTAAATAGACAATTGGTTTAGTGTATTTTAAGGAGAAATTGGGGGCTAGGGGTGTAACTCAGTGATAGTGTACGGTTTAGCACAGCCATGGCCTTAGTTCTCCAGCACCAAAAGTAAGATTACTATTACTATTAATAACAGAATGGGACATACGTACACTAGACTGGTGTGTTCTAAATCTTAAGTGTAGAATCAAGTGTGGGGGAAAAAAATCAAACTAAGCTATAGTTAACAATGTCAGTACCTTCATGTGCACAGTTTATATATACATCCTGAGAAACAAAAAAAATGCCCTGAGCTGTGGCTGCCAAGGTGACTTTCCTTTGCCCCTAGTTTTCCCTTCAGCAGCTCCACTCTTGAAGGCAATATGAAAAGACAGTAATCCCCCAGGCGATGGGGCCTGTGTGATTTAAGACTTTAAGCCCTAACGTGTCTGATGCTTGTCTGAGCCATGGAGTACTCTTGCTTGGTTCAGGAGTGACATGAGCCAAGCTGCCATTGTGTTATTGAGTGAGTCATGTCATCTTCTTGTGCTTAGTTGCCAGAAAAATCTTAATCTACATGTGAAAATTAAGTTTACTGTTCTTTAAACAGCTTGGGGTTTTTCTTCAACTTGAAGGTTTAGAAACCTATGAAACACCCAATGTGAACATATTTATATTCTGAGAGATTTCTTTTGGTTAGTTCAGATTTCCTTTGAGCCTCTTTCCACTCCTGTAAGCATTCCTCATGGCTGCATTAATGTTCAGAATCCTCAGAATGAAAAGACCAACATTAGTTAAAAGGGACCTGAACAAAAAAACTGAAATGGTTATCATATAAAGTTATTTTGGATTAATCTCTGTAGTTATTTACTTACAGTGACCTGGGCTTTGTCATTTTGATTTGTTTTCCAAAGATGAAGGGAGAAAATATTTTAAAACTTTGTGAGCAGCTAGTTTTGTTTTGTTTTTTGTTTTTGTTTTTTTGCAGAGCTGAGGACTGAACTCAAAGCCTAGCATGTGGTAGGCAAGAGCTCTTCTACTGAGCTAAGTCCTCAACTCTAAGCCGAAGTTTTGACTTGAAAATAAATACTTAAAATTTCTTTTCTCAAGTCTTTAAAAAAATCTGAGTATTATTATATTCAATTGTTTTTATTATCCATACAAAACCCAATGACTGATTTTCATTTAAGTCTCTCAAATTGAATATCCAATTTGTTTTCTCCTTCCCAGCATCCTCTGCTCGCCACTGATGTTATGAAAAATGAATGTGTTCTGATTGAGGCATGTTAGTCCACACTTGGTGGAAAGGCATTCATGGCTTCTGTGTAACGCATCTCCCACTGCTTTTCCCACTCTGAGTACAGTACGTACCAGCAAACAACTTAGGTCTGTGACCACCCAAAAGATAGTTGGACCCCAGTTACGGTGTAGCATTTATTTAGTCTATTGTAAAGTACTTGCTAATTTGTGTCTTTTCTGTCTACTTATTTTTTGCCTTTTACTTCTATTGCTTACTCTGATTTTATTTTCCCTTCTATATTTTCTAAACTTGCCTTTATTATGCCTTAGAGTTCTCTGATGTGCAAAATAATGCCCTGTTCAGGCAGACATAATAGCCTGTTTTTCTTTTTTTTGGGTCATCAAAATTGATCCCAAATTAGGCCTAAATTCTCTCTCCTAAATTCTTTGCTGCTGTTTGTTTAGAAATTGAAGAAAGGGTCATAATAAACTCTGTTCTGTAACTTCCTTTCATTTAGGATTCTACTAAATTCCAACACAATTTAAATAATATGTATTCCTTCCCTACTATTGTAAACCAGTAAAGGAAATAAATGAGTTGGCAGGGCTTCAACCTTGACTTTTCTTTTTGCTTGTCTCTTTGACCTTTCTACTGTCTTTGATATGGGTCACATGATTCCCTTAGTCCCTGTCCAGGCTGTGTATTTGAACTTCATCTTCTGCTTCTTTGAATTCAGGGTACTTTGTAATTGTTTCTTCTTGCCTGTTTCCTCCCTTGGCCATTTCCACAATGCTTTCAAGGCCCACCCTTCAACTAAAAGCATCTTTCACAGAAGGTTCCCGTAACCAGTTGTACATTTTTTCTGTTTCTAGCTTCATGCAGGTGGCTGGGATTTTCCTTTGCTCCTTGATGGATACTGAATGCTTTAATGTTCAGTAGCATATTTCTTTGGATTCTTAGGTGTGTAGGGTTGAGAACATTTTCAAGCTTTCCTTTCTCGTCATATTCTCTCCCCCCCCCCCCCCCCAAAATCCTTTCAAATTACAAGTAAATTCTTTGGCCTTTTATATAAGAACACGAACTTTGCATACTGATGAGCTTGTATTTGAACTCTGTCAGCACTTTGGATAAACTCCTGGATTAGTTAAGATTAGCTACCAGTTAACCAGGCACAGTGGCTCACACCTTTTAATCCTAGCTACTTTCGAAGCAGCCCTTTGGGGAGGGTCAAGGTTCAAGGCCAGCTTTGAGCAAAAAGTCCAAGAGACCCTCCTGCCCCATCTTAACCATTGAAAAGCTGCATGTGGTAGCATATACCATTCCAGCTATGTAGGAATAAGGAAATCATGGGCATAAATTTGAGACCCTACTTGAAAAACAATCAAGAAAGGAAAAAAAAGGTCCAGGAACTTGAGAAGTGGTAGAACACCTGCCTGGAAAGCACAAGACCCTGTATTCAAACCTCCAGACCTAAAACAAAACCAACCAGTCACAGACACGGCAGAAAACAAAGGCTTAATCAATATGGTGGTTTCTTTCACAATGAAGAAAAAAAAATAGTAGCAACCCAGAGATGATAAATGGTTCATTCTACAGACTGTTTCCACCCACTAGATCTACCGTACCAAAGATGAGGCCTCTACCTCATGGTCCAAAATGAAATTCCAGCTATGGCATCCAAGTTGCCAGTGGCAGAAAGAAAAGAAAGAAGAGGAAGAAAAAAGCGCCCAGGCTCTTAGGCAATTCTGTAGAAGCTGTCAGACACCTATTACATCTCAGTGCCCTTCAGAATTTAGTGCCTGATCACCTACTGGAATAGAATCTGGAGAATATCCTATAGCCATTTAGTCCCATTCCTGGCTAAAAAGTATGGATAGGAAATAAAGGAAGGGAATGCATTTAGGGTTATCACAATTATTCTAAACCTCTTTCTTTCCTGACTAGTATTGTCTAAAGGGGTTTTTAGGATACAGGAACTACCACAAGTTAAGGCAGGTTCCAAAGTATTTGGTGTGAAACAACTCAGTAAATGCTTTTATATTCCCCTTCCTTACCTTTTATTCCCTGCTGTCATGTTTGCATTCAGATTCTGTTATCATATTTGGGCATTTGCCCCAGCTGGTAGAACTAGACTTCTGGTTTGTTCCTTGCCATGGGAAGAGACAGGATTCAGCACATCATCACGCAATGTCAGCATTTATTTCTTCCATGGAAAACAGCATAGATTAAACACAGAGCTTGAGATGTCAAATCCACCTGGATAGGAAACTCAGATCTGCTCTCTTTGTACAGTGTAGCCACTCTCTGTTTCCTTATCTGTGAGCTCGGGTAGTGAGCAGAAATGGGGACAAAGTGAAAAAAATGTATCTGAGGTGCATAATACTGTGTCTGATAGAGGAAGTGGTTGCTTTTCCCTTTTAATTTGGCCTAACCTGAGTAAACCTTTCCTAGGATGAACTCTTACTCTATTTTGTTTGGTGTGTGTGGTGGTGGTGGTGGTGGGTAGGGGGTTCTGGGCTGCTGTTGCTTAGCTTTTTCTGCTCAAAGCTAGCACTGTACCACTTGAGCCACAGTTCCATTTCTGGCTCTTTTGTTATTAATTGGAGATAAGAGTCTCTCAGACTTTCCTGCTCTGATTTTTTATTTTTATTTTTTGGTTGTGGGGCCTGAACTCTGGGTCTGGGCATTGTCCCTCAGCTCTTCAGCTTAAGGCTAGCTCTCTACTACTTGAACCACAGTGCCACTTCCAGCTTTTTCTGCTCTGGTGGTTTTGAACCTCCATCCTCAGATCTCAGCTTCCTGAGTAGGCAGGATTGTAGGAGTGAGCTACCAGAGGCAGGATTGTAGGAGTGAGCTACCAGTGTCCAGTATTACTCTATTTTTTTTTTTTTTTTGGGTCCGGTCATGGGCCTGAACTCTGGTCCTGGGTGCTGTCCCTCAGCTCTTCAGCTCAAGGCTAGTGTTCTACCACTTGAGCCACAGCGCCACTTCTGGCTTTTTTTCTTTTTGCTTATGTGGTGCTGTGGAATCAAACCCAAGGCCTCATGCATGTAAGGCAAGCGCTCTACCACTGAGCCACCTTCCCAGCCCATACTCTATTTTTCAAAATGCTTTAAAATTGGTCATCTTTGGGCATATCCAAATGAATGTTTTTAACTTAATAAAACATTTTAGTATTGTCCCCAAATCAGTTTATAACCCAAACAATAGCAAAATCATCCCTGTATGTTTTCATTGACACAAGCCTTCACCATGCTCAGCCTTGATTTGAATGATCTTTGGCGATCATTTTCAGAACCTAAACATTACCACCGTTGAGTATTTCTTAGTGCATTTTAGCAGCTATTAAGTATCTTCTGTGTGCCAGGCACAAAGCCACATGCTCAGGATGCAGTGGTGAGCATCTTTGCCCTTGTGGAGGTGGTACCTTATTGAAAGAGACAGGTGAATCAATCACTGCAAATGAATGAACATTGCCACTGAAACAGAGGAGCTGTGAGAGCAGGTATGTATGTGGTCAGTTGGTTGAGTGGTGAC